GCCCTGGGACGCGGCACTAGGGGTGCCCCGGTGGCACTGGGTGAGGGACACCCCGGGACGCGGCACTAGGGGTGCCCCGGTGGCACTGGGTGAGGGACACCCCGGGACGCGGCACTAGGGGTGCCCCGGTGGCACCGGGTGAGGGACACCCCGGGACACTGCACTAGGGGTACCCCGGTGGCACTGGGTGAGGGACACCCCGGGACACGGCACCAGGCGTACCCCGGTGGCACCGGGCGAGGGACACCCCGGGATGTGGCACTAGGGGTACCCCAGTGGCATTGGGCGAGGGACACCCCGGGACGCAGCACTAGGGGTACCCCAGTGGCATTGTGAGAGGGACATCCTGGTGGCACTGCATTAGGGATATCCTGGTGGCACTGGGTGAGGGACACCCCCAGTGGTGCTGTGCTAGGGGTACCCCAGGGCACTGAATTAGGGACACCCTGGTGGCAGTGAGCAAGGTACACCCCAGGCCAATGTACTAGGGGGACTCCGGGGGCACTGTGCTATGGACACCTCAGGGCACTGCATTAGGGACACCCTGGTGGCACTGGGCGAGGGACACCCTGGAGCACTGTACTAGGGACACCCCAGTGGCACTGTGCTAGGGACACCCTGGAGCGCTGCAGTAGGGGCATTTCTGGTGGCACTTCCCCAGTGGCACGAGGCTGGGGGGGACACCCTGTGGCCTCTCACCACAGTGGGGAACACGCCGTGTTTGGCCCTGTGCCTGGGGACTGTGCTGGCAGCACGCTCTTATTGTGCCCCAGGGACACCGCCAGCCGTCCAGCCCCAGGGCCTGAGACCTGCCTCTGCTCCGGCCAGACCTGTCCCCGCACTAGAGGACATCACACGGCTGGCACTGCCCTGGGCACAGCCTATGCGCTGTCACTGCACTCTGGGGCCTGAGGGACCCTGCTTGCTGGCACTGGCTTGGGGGCACCTCAGGGGCTGGCACAGCACTTGGGGACACCCATGGGCTGGCACTGAAATCTTGGGGACACTCTCAGGCTGTGATTGAGCTCAGGGATGCCCACGGGCTGTGATTGCAGCTGGGGACACCCATAAGCTGTGATTGCAACTGGGGACATCACAGGCTGGCACTGCAGAGACACCCACAGGCTGTGATTGCACTCAGGGACACCCATGGGCTGTGACTGCCGTTGGGGAAACCGTGGGCTGGCACTGCCCACATGGGGAAAATCCCCTGGGAGAGAAGCGAACTGAGCCCCTGACCTCCCCATCCAGCTTCTGTGGGGCAGGAGGGCCCCAACTCCGTGCAGGGTCCCTGGCACCCACCTCCCTGCTGCCTTGCACCCTGGTGCCACTGTCCCCAGCACCCACAGGGACACTGAGCACACGCACAGCCCATGGGGTGGCATTTCAGGGCGACACGGGGTGCGCGGGCAGCCCACTGCCCCCTCCATCTTTCTGTTCTAAATAAACTGTATTCCACAGGCAAAAAAATGCAAACCCTTCAGATCCTGGCTCCTCCAAAAATAACCCGTGCTTTAATAACGCTCGTAAATGCTTCTGGCGCATTCCCAGCTGC